GGTTATGAAATTTTTCTTAAACTCATCCATATATATGTGATGAGTTTTTTAAGCTGGGTATATAGATTTAAAATTGTAAAAAAAAAAACACAAAAAAACAAAAAACAAAAAACTTTCATAAATCATTTGATTCGTATTTTCGGAGAGCTTAATTAATTTAAAAGTGTAAAATACATAAATAAATAAAGTACAACTGAAAAAGTTATAACCAATTGTATGGAGAATTAAACTAAATCTAATTTTGTAGGATGCATTAAATATTGATTAGATTTTATATGTAAAATAAAATAAAAAATAACTGGAATAGTTTTACGTGTTGCAATATTTTAAATTTAAAAAAATTAAAAAAATCTTCTTTTTATGTATTGCATACCAACATTTTAGGAAATACATGGATATTCCTAAATTAATATTGCATACCCAATATTTTAGGAACTAATTAAATGCTAATTTGATTTGCATACCAAAAATATTAGATGCATTAATTAAATGTTTGATAAAAATAGCAAATCATTAATTAGGGTTGACTATTCTACATACTACATTTAGTAAATAGTATAGCTTTTAATATAAGTATAGATTTTTGAACTCATTGCCAAAATAAATCTTTAACTTTCCATAAATTTAAATTGTTTATATAACTGTCCTCCCACTTTTATTGGCTGCTTGTATTCAACTGTTGGTTGTTTGTATTTACCTGGTGGCTGCTCTGTTGCACATTTGTGCGTAGTTATGTAATATCCCTATCATTTCGGGAAAAAAATAAATTTAAATTTTGTTTAGTTAATAAATAAATACCCTAATATAAATCACACCAGATCCATGTTACCAATTAAAAAAAAAAAAAAAAATCATGCAAAAGTAAGATCATTAATTCATTAAACAATCTTGATATTTTTATTCTCGAATATCATATATATTTTTCCTACAAGCTAAAGGAAGATAATTAATTTCAAATAATAATAAGAGAATAACTAGGATATTGAATGTTAAAATAAGAAGTTATTTCATTTGCTTTCAAGCATTATTCCATGTTATCTATTTCGAGAAACAAAAATATGATAAATAAATATTATATTTGATTGATGTCAAATTCAATTATCTTAACAACAATACTACTATTTATATTTAAAGTAACATCATTCACTTATACGCCTTACCATATTATTTTATAATAATTTTTTAAATTATATTATTTAACAACTTTATTGTTAAATTAAGTTAAATAATTTTATTTTTTAATAAATATTAATAGGTAATTAATTTTTATTTTAAATACAAAAAAATAATTATTTATTTATTTTATATGTACATATAGGCGTCAAATTGATCTAAAAAATAGATGATTAATTTTGTATATTATACAAAAAATTAATAATAAATAAAAGAATTATTAGCTTTTAAATCTATTTATTATTTAAGTAGTATTTTTTTCATAATTTTTCCTAAAAAAGATTGAGAAAAAAAATTATGTCTTTTATGTCACGTCTAGAATAGTAAATGTAACTTAATTAATATTCTTAAAAAGGACCGTAAAGATCTAATAGATTTATAACCTTTTCCAAACCTAATTATTTTTTAATTGAGTTAAATTAAAATTCATCCAAATCAAATGACAAAACATGAAAATTTGTCGCATAAAATCTCGAGTTATGCGATCCTATCTAGGCTCAACAAATTCGAAAATTATATACAAAAGAATTTGTTCACACCGACAATTATTCTCATTTTTTCAATTATAATCAATTACGTCTATTTATTAGTACACAAACGAAATACCACAAGTTATTATCATTTAACATAAATTTTTATCGTGTATCCCAATCACACTGATCCCTGATTCATTTTACATTTTCTCACTAATTTTTACCTACTCTGCTTTTTCTAGAAACCGAAAAAAGAACAACAATCATTACCCAACCAAACAATATTGTATAGAGACTAATTTTGCAACCTTTGGCTTTAGACGGACAACTTTCAACACACGAGGGACCAACTCAGAAGCAAGAGACTGGGTAAGGATGTTTACAAGTTAACAGATGATGCAAGTAAAATAATACTGAAAACTTTAATAATCTATGATCTTTATGTTTTTTCGCTTGACAAGTAAAAATTCAAGTTTTGATGGACGAATGGGATGTAGGGAAGAGACTAGGCAAGGATGTAGCGTACGAATTGGAAGGATGAACGACGAGTTATTCTCTCCATAAACACACAAAACTCACAAAAATCAGATTCATTCTTCAACACAACCACCCATCGTGTATTATGCTAGGAGATAATATATAGAGTCTCAACTCTCTTAATTCTACTTATCTTGTCTAACAAGCTAGGCTACATACTTATTTACTTACCAATCATAATAAAATAACTACTAATATAATAGAATAAAAAGTATAACAATACCAGGAAATAAAATAAACTAACTAGGAAATAAATAAACTAAATACGGAGCCTACGATCGTATTTATTGAAGATATGCGATCGCGGTCTCGTCTCTATCATTCTTTCCCGGTTGAGAAGGATTCGGCTGCGAATTCGAACCGGTCCCGTCTCCATCAAAGACATAGGCATGCAAAGGGGCCAAATGCGATAAGTGAAAAACATCCGACGAATGGACATGCAAGGTAAGTGAAGACGGAAGGCATTCGGCGATAGCCTATCGATGACCTCGTAGGGGCCGATTCAACCGTCCGGCGGGGACTCGGCCCACACAAACTCTCCCACATCAAAAACCAATGATCGCCCATCCAATGACCCAAAGAACTCCTCACACGGCCCGAAGCGAGAAAGGAATAATGTTGACAAAAGGGACCGAATGGGGAGCCGACGGGTGTAAAACAATGCGGACGCTCTCATATAAAAACTCATATGTGTTAAGGCGGTCATCGTGTAGCACGGACCTATCAAACTGCCAAGGACACCCCAATAAGAGGTGACAATCATTCATAGGCACTACATCACACCAAACCTTACCCTTATAGGTAGAACCGACAAAAAAAGACACCAACACCCGACTATTGACATTGACAGCATTAACCCAGTGTATCCACTCAAGAGAGTAAGGCTTTGGATGTGGCTCAGTCAACAACCCAAGCTTTGTCACTGCTTCGTTAGAGATCACATTGTCACTAGCACCAGGATCAATCACAAAACGGCACACCCGACCGCCAATGGTGCACGTGGATTCAAACAGATGATGTCGTAATTCCTCATCCTCGGGAGATAAGTGGGGTGACAAGAGAGAGCGACGAAGGACCAGCGCATGACCGACATTCCCCGAGACATGTACCACGGGCACCTCTGGCTCCTTATTGAAAATAAGAGGGCCATCATACTCGACCGACTCCGGCTTCTCAATCAACAAAGCCCATGACCCTTTCTACTTGGTGCACCGTGTTTGGTGATGTCCCGGTTTGCCGCAAGCGAAGCAGCGAAGCGCTCCAGAGGCCAACATCACGCCCATCTGAAGCCGTGCCGACACCTGGATGAACAGTCGGCGGCGGAATCGCAGTCCCAGTAACCCCTTTCGGAGAGGGCGCAAAAGACGAGCCTTCCTTTCAAGCCTGCTGCTGCTCGATCAACAAAGCCCGTTGATGTGCATCAGAAAGTGTATCGTGAATAAACATATTGAGCATATCCTGGATAGCAACACGTAAGCCACCCACATATCTCGGCACCAACTAGTCCGTCGTCTCATGAACCTCCACACCAGTTAAAAGGCTATAAAATTCCCCCATGTATTCATCAACGGAACGTGCCCCTTGCCTTAAATTCTGGAATTGCTGATAGACTGCACGCCCGGTCGCAGGCGTCACGGTTCATATGCAATTCCTGGACCACGTTGTTAAGAGCCAAACGGAAATCTACGATCCTCAAATAAAGACCCTCAAACTGTTCCATGAAACGCTCTTCTAACTGCACAAACCGGTCGTCGATCTGTTGAAACCGATCGTTGAAGGCTGCATCATGTTATTCGTTTGCGGCATCATGTCGTTTCAGCGGCATCTCTGAATCTTACTGACTGTTGATACCAACAGATATAGGGAAGCGTACAAATGAGAAGGATAAACGAGATACTCTCTCGATAAACACACAAAACTCACAAAGATTAGATTTTATTCTTCAACACAACCACCCATCGTGTATTATGCTAGGAGATAATATATAGAGTCCCAACTCTCCTAATCATACTTATCTTGCCTAACAAGCTAGACTAGATATTTATTTACTTATCAATCATAATAAAATAACTGAGGTAATAAAATAAAAAGAATAAAAATACTAGAAATTAAAATAAACTAACTAGGAAATAAATAAACTACATATAAAATAAACTAACTAGAAAATAAATAAATTAAATACGGAGCCGATCGTATTTATTAAAAAATGTGATCGCGGTCTCGTCTCTATCATCCTTCCCCGATTGAGAAGGATTCGGCAACAAATTTGAGCCGGTCTCGTCTACATCATTTAGACGGACAACTTTTAACAGACGAGGGGCCAACTCAGAAGCAAGAGACTAGGCAAGGATGTTTACAAGTTAATAGTTGATGTAAGTAAAATAATACTGAAACCTTTAATAATCTATGATCTTTAACTTTTTCGCTTGACAAGTGAAAAATAAAGTTTTGATGGACATCCACTCTACTCGTGTGGGGCACCAGGGCACCACTATATGACTCTGGATATCAATGACAAAAAGCGCTTATATTATTCAGTAGAAAATGTTTACAAACACCTAATAAAAAATTATACTAATACTTCGAATTGAGTGATTCTCAGATTTTAGATTAATAATAATAACAATACAAAAATCACCTTCAAATTCTTTCTTTTAGCCAGAATTATGACTTTCAAATAGTAATTAAAAAAAAAAATTAACAAATCCTACACCCATTAATTCTACAAGAGTTAAAACTTAAAACAGAATGAAATTAAAAACAAAACTTAAAAAAAAAAA